TCAACATAGTTTATTTAAGACTGAAAAATTGACATCTTGAATGGATATAATAATCGAAGTTTATTAAAAATTAAATCCAAAAAAACAGATAATAGATACAACAAATGAGAAATAATTTTAATAATTTATGCCACGAACTTTGGGGTTCAGTTCTGTTCAGCCGTTGAGATCACTCTTCAGCATTCAGTTTGTAGGGCTGTTGAAACACAGAACACAAGCCACATGCATCTCTTCAGTTGAAACAGTTATTTTAAAAAGAAATTTGTTTAACTGCATAACAAAATGATGTATTTATTGGCGTAACAACAATAATATAACAACAACTTTAAAACAACAACAAGAATAATAATAATAATAATATGACAACAACAACGTTAATATGACATTAGTATTTTTGATTGTGTAAGATTTGTTTATCTTTTGTAGTGACTCATTCAAACAACCAAACAATAAACAGCAAAAACAACAACAAAATGTTAGCAACAAAACAACACAACTTGTAAACACAGCAACATCAACAACAAAAACAACAACAACAGAAACAACAACATTAATATGTCAACGAAGTCCATGCAACAACAACAATAATAATAATCATGTGACAACAACAATAATATGACAACAACAATAATATAACAATAACTTCAATACAACAACAAAAATAGTAATAATAATATGACAACAACAACATTAATATGAAAACAACAACAACAACAACAACAAAACGTTAGCCACTGACTGTTACAGAGTGATGAGTGTTGAATTACATGTTGTTTACATATCAACAACAACATTACATACCTCTTGACAGTGTCCTTGCTGATGTCTTGTCGGGAAAATTATGCTGACACACACACCACACGTGCACACACACACATACAACACATACACACTTACACATACACGCTCACACACATACGCTCACACATACAGGCACAGATTCAAACAAGCACAAAAGAAAACATATACATATACAAACAAAAAAGCCACATGTGCATGTGCAAATACAAACCAACAAATACACACACAAATAAAAAAAAACAAATACACGCTAACTAACGCTCATAAACACACACATAGTTGTGCATACACGCACATACATTCACACATACACAACACATACAAACGAACTAAGACAATGAAATAATTAAATAAACATACACACATTCCCACAGCAACAAACACCACACACACAAACACACACACACGCACAAACACACACACACGCACAAACACACACACACGCACACACACACATAAAGAGAAATACAGTTGAAGATATTGAACGCATAATGATGATCTCATAACATTGTAACGGTTGTCAGTGAGATTGTCATCCATCATTAGCATCGGAGTCCTGCTGGCTCTCCAACGTTTGCTAATCTAAATTTTGTTTTATTTGTAGAGAAATATGTAATACATGTAAACACACACACACACACACACACATATATATATATATATATATACACGCACACACACACACATATACACTCACACACACACACACACACACATATATATATATATATATATATATATATATATATATATATATACACACACACATATATATATATATATATATATATATATATATATATTATATTACACACAAATATGTATTATTTATATACAATTAACAGAATATGTATATAAACAATAATAAATGTAAGAATGATGTAGATAGAGAAGAAGATGAAGAGAGAGAGAGAGAGAGAGAGAGAGAGAGAGAGAGAAAGAGAAAGAGAGGAAGAGAGAGAAAGAGAAAGAAAGAAAGAGCGAGTGAAAAATTGTGTATAGATGACTCAAAATTAACTCAACTCTATTTAATATATTCTTGCATCTAGTACTGTAATCAAAAATTAAAATTTTTTAATTAAAAAATAGTTTCTAAAGAAATTTTATGTTGAAGAAATACAGTGAAAGAATGGATGTGTCCTAGTTACATGTATTTGTAAACAGGCATAAACACCTAAGAGAACATGAAAAGTCAATTTAAACGTCGCTAGTCGCTACCAGCAATTAGACCTAATGTTCACACAAACATCATTGTACCTACGCGTGTTTGTGAGTCTGTGTGATTGTGTGTGTGTGTGTGTGTGATTGTGTGTTATCATGTGTGTGATTGTGTGTTATCATGTGTGTGATTGTGTGTGTGTGTGATTGCGTGTTATCAAATGTGTGATTGTGATCGTGTGTGTGATAGTGTGTGTGATTGTGTTATCAAGTGTGTGATTGGGATCGTGTGTGTGATTGTAGTGTGTTTGTGCGTACATACATGCGCATCGTGTGTTTGTCACATATCATTATATAGACGTTATATCATTGTATATATCATTATGTAAACATATATATGCAATATCTATATCATTGTATATACACAAGTGAATATGTTTGCTATGAGTGTAGGTATAGATTTAATTGCTTACAATTGGTTTTTAAACCACCCTGTAAAGCATGATTCCAATAATCTGTTGAAATTATGAAATTTCGTTGTAAAGTGAATTAAATGTTAGAAATATTCAGTAAATATTTTTAATTAATCTCCAACGGTCTGCAAAATATTTGCCTAGATTGTTGGAGTCTGCTAATTAATGTGCAGTTAAGATAGGATTCATTAATTGATAAGTTAGAGCTACCATCCTTCGATTTTGTAATCGTTTATCTCAACTTAAATTCGGCCCTACGGTATGTTTTATACATAATCGGCTTGGGGACAATAATTTAATTCAGTTAACGTTTTAATATTACACGATTAAGTGAAGGCACTTCATAGCCGGGTTATAATACGAAGACAGGTTGTTTTAACACGTCAAAACAATTTCGAATTAAATACATTGATAAATTGTTAGGTTTTAATTAGAAACTTATTTGCACTCCTGTGAAGATTTTCAGTTGAAGTTCTATTTTTTCCTTCCAAAATTAAACTAAACAATAAAACAGTGTCATTCACATTTGGTGATTAACAAACAGAAATCATATCAATATGCATACATGCACGATAACGTTACGAAAGTTGCCAGTGCTGTTATATTTACATGGAATGTGGTCCATAGCAAAATGAGTTCAACATTTTCTATACAAGTCGCTGTGAAATATTTAATTTTATCCTATAAATTTCATCCTCTAAACGTTATTTTTCCATAACATATTTTTAACTGCTACGCTGTACTGTGTCGTTGGATACGCTAGAGACATTTTCGAATTATATCAAAATTATGTTGTATTTGAACAGATCAAATCATCTTTTCAATGAGTATTTAAAGTGAAATTTTAATAAATAACTACACAGAAATATTTCATTGGAAAAACCCAATAAGAAAGCAGAGAATGGCCCTTAAGATAAGTGCAATGACGTCGCGAACACATGGCCAGAAAGGATCTTCATTGATGTTCGTCATCTCTTTGTAAACTTTCATTTCTTCTTCTTCCGACATTTTCTTCTGGTCATCTTCCAATGTTGCTCTGCACACGAAAGCGTACACTCTCAACGCTAAGAAATGCTTTCCATCAGGTGTGGGACATGCTTAGGAGATGAGAAATTTATTTGGAAGTCTTATGAGTAGCAGTTTGCTGAGAAATAAATAAAGTTAATTAATTTCATTGAATATAATTGCATTGAAACTTCAAACTTTAGAACCTTGCTGCAAACACTCACTCTTAACTTCATTATTTGCCACCGCCATCTCATTAACGTTATTCCTTATTTCGGTTTTATTTTGTTCGTCAGAAGGAATTTCTTCAATTTTGTTCCATGCCATCCTGTCATTCGGAGGTGGTCTCAGCTTTCCTGCTCAACCATGTACCTCTCCACAGCTTCATGCAATTTGCCTTTCAATTGTTTTTGAGAAAATTTTGAAACAAGAATATTGTACAGTGAAAATGAAAAATGTTATTAATAATGACAACCTCATTCGGTGGTTTTGGTTTGCTGACGAAAGATGACTACAAAAGAAGGCAAAAGAAAAAAAGTTCAGATAGCGAACCGGTGTGGATATAATTTCAAATGGTATCGCATAGAAATCAATGGAAAGTTTCTGACTCATTTTTATAATAATATATTTATGCTTAAAATTTTTTTTCAGACGTATCAAATTCGTTCCGCTAATGAAAATAATCGGTTCTTGAAAAATTTATCTTTCAATTTCTAAGAGGATATGTGTACCTGAAAATTGTTGGACGCATTAACTCGAAGCAAATTTTAATTAGAGTTTAATTAATCAACCTAACGTAAAGAAATCTTTAAGTGAATTGCGGAAACTAGTAACCACCAGTCAAAACTCTACTGACTGACCAATATTTCATAAGAACTGGTTTCAACAGCGGATGCTTATTATTAGCCGCCAGACACGACTGCATCTCTTTTTTGTTGGTCATTTATAATTTTTCATAAATTCAATTGCTGATCTAGCATTTTTATTGCGCTGACTTTTATTTCTTTTATAGAAAACTTAAATTGATACGCACGTTTTAGTTTAAAATTTTAATTTAAAAAACAATGTCTCGACCTGATTTGGCAAAAAAATAAGAGCCACATGTTACTAAAATATTTTAATTAAATTATATGAAATGTAGTTAATAATGAAATTTTTTAGTTAAACTATCATTTAAACTAAACTTTATTTCAGTTAAATTATGCGGGAAACTGAAAAAAAAACAGTTAAACCATCAGTTTGCAACTTTTTAGTTAAACTATGCCCATCACTGCATATCGAAAATAATTTTGGCCACCTCCTACATTTGTCTAAATTCACCTCTGTGGTTGTACCATACTTCAATATTAATATTTTGACTATTTTGACTTTAAAATTAATTTATATTCAAATAAAAAACTGGGTGGTACTTAATCAATACTTCCAAGAGTAAAAAATGTATTTTATAAAAAATAGTTAAAATTTATATGTTTTATTGAGAAAAATTATGAAAAACTATTAATTGAAATTAAAGATTCTCACGAACAGTGGCGAATTTAGGGGGGGGGGGGGGCGAGGAGGCCATGGTACTTTGTTACCATCAGTTCAATTCAAGACAGCGTTAAATAATAAAAATTTTTTTTAAAAAAGATCGACTCTTTTTAACAATAAAAAATAACGCTGATTTGTTATATAAATTTGATACAAGTTAATTTCAGAAACTAATTCATATTTTAAACTTAAATTCATGTTTTCTTAGTATATTTCTTTTATTGAAAACAAATAATAACAAAAAGTAAATCATGTATATTATAGTCTTTACTTATTTAGACTTTTCATAATTTTATGTTTTGTTCGCAGTTCACATTTTATTCCATTTACGATTTGGCGCGTCTTATATTATGTTTTTGTGTTTCATAAAATCAGTTTGCATTTGTTTTAAATTCGTTTTAAATTTTAAAAAATGTAGTATTTTAAACTTTTTTCAACCGACTCCGGCAAAAAAACAGAAGCAGTGCGATGATCTCAATACAGTTGAGGCCCGTTAATAATGGTTATATCTAGTCTAGATATTTCATTAATTGCACATGAAATAATTTTGTTTATTTTCAACTACAAAAATTAGCAATAGGCTGAATAATAAAAACATTTTTTGGGATAGGGTTAATGCGTATCAGTCATTACCCGACTAGACTTGAATTAATTTTGTAGTATGTGTCAAACTAAATTCTATAACCTTAATATCCCAGTTTTCAAAGTCAAAGGTCTCAAAGTCAAAGTTTTCTAGATCCGCCCGTGCTCACGATGAACAATGACAAACTAAAACCTCTACATAATAACACAGAAATTAAGCAAATTTTTCAACTGCAAACAATGGAGTAATAATTCAAAAATTTGGCCAAAAGTTTAAAACCATCAAATCCATGTAACAATTTAATAAATATAACAAGATATTTTTCTATAAATTTAAAAGCTAAACTACAACGAATAATAAAATAGTAAAATTTTACAACTTCAAATAGTCAGCCTTCTCTACACTTCACAACACTTCACAAGCATAGCATAACTTTTCTAAACAGTCTCTCGCTTGCCACAGTCCGTCAGGTCGTCCCATAGTAATACAACCAAAACCTTTTCCATCTGAAGAATTCTTCCAATTAGTAAACGACTCGAATGGTGGTCTTTTTTTGCGAGCAGCTGTATGCCAGAGGTAACTCTTATCTGTCATTCTTCTACGACCTGCTGTCCAGAAAAGATCAGAGCAATCCTTGGCGGCGTCTGAGCAAAAATATCTTCATTTAATTTTAAATAGCAAAAAACTTTTCAACTTTATTTTTAATCAATCTAATAGAATGTCATTTTTATTTAAACATTTATAATATATATATATATATATATATATATATATATATATATATATTATATAACGCTAGTGTTCTCATCCTAAAATAGGTTTGAGTAAATTTAAAAGTTAGAAAAAAAATTTAAAAATTTTTTTAACTCTCAATTTTTTTTCAAACACTCAATGCAAGACTAACTCAATATAATAAAGTTTTTCAACTCTGTATTTTCTCCCCTGCCTCCCAATGTGGTAAGACCCCTGAATTTCTCATTACAGAATGCACGTGCTTTAAACCAATCGCCCGGTTCGTTTATCATGTATAATTTTGCTGTTGGATTTGGAAATGTGTTTGGAAGTTGATTCGGAAACTTGCTGTAGATCTCGAAATAATCTGACAAAACATTGGTCAAAACAATTATATCTTTTAATATTTTGTTCAAATAAATTATAAGCTTAGCGTTAAAAATGCAAAGCCTAAACTTTGCAAGTTTGTAAATGTGATAAAACATTGTTTAATAAGTTTACACAAAGTAGGCAAAACAAAATATTTTTCTGAAACTATTCATCAACATACTCACAAAATTTTATAAATCGGAATAAATGAAATGCGAACAGTAGAATATGCAGCACCTTCACTTCTGAAGAAGACAGTTTTCCTCTCGAGGTCCGGATGGATGGAGGTGATGTTGGCCAGATGGTCTTCTTGAATAAACGAACAGCCAACAGCAGCATCTTGATCAACGTCTTCGTACGCGAAACCTGTGCAGTTTTCTTCCAGACTGCATTTCAAGGAGCAGATCTTTTTTTGTTCACGATTTAAATTTTCGAAAATTTTTATGTCTTTTAAATCAAGTTCAAATTTAGATGGAAATGCGAAGTATGCGAAGTTGATCGCTCCGAACGATTTCGTGGACACAAAATAGTTTCGCGCGTCGGGGTTGGAAGAAAAAAATTTTTGTTGAGAATTTTTTTCAACTCTAACGAAGATCATACGTTCGAACAACATATCTGCTGAAGCATACAGCGATATCAACAATAATAACGGCATACTTTTTTCCATTTTTTTTATTAATTTGATTTATTTAATTCATTTATTCGATAGTTTAAATTTGCATTTTAAATTTTAAAGGTAATATTTTAAAATTTTCAAGTAATTCAGTTTGAAGAATAACTTTATAGCAGAACACCACGGATTGTGTTCGTCTTTAAATTGTTTTCTGTTGGTAGCTAAAAATATCTATCCAATCCCTACAACAGTAGACACGCACACACACACACACACACAACCACACACATGCAAACGGACACACATGTACACACACGTATTGAAAATTGGCCAAACAAACTTTGTTGCAACTTAAGCAATGTGTGTCTTTATGAATCTATGTTATGCATTCATGTACTTGTGTGTTCTATAAAGTTAAAAAGTAAAAATTGTGCTGGTAAAAATAAGATCGTGGAACAACAATATTATTCTGGCTTCTTCATTGATGGAGTAAAATTGGTAGTGCAGACGCTTTTGAGGAAGATAATATATAATCAACAAAAATTGTAGAAAATTTGAATATTTTTCAAAAATTTAAGTTTTTTCAAAGAAACTTTTAAGTTTAATAATTTGACCACTTTGGCATATCATAAGTTGTATAAGTATTGTTGAGAACACACCAACAATAATACATATAATGGAATAAATTTTGTTAACCTCAATACAACATTTTTTCAGTTTTAGACTTTTTACTTTAAAAACTTTTTTTTTCTCAACTTTTTTTGTTGGAATTCTGCACCACTAATTGATGTTTAGTTCAATCAAACAGAAGTGAATGCAGTTCATATTTTTTAGTTTTATCCGTTTTTTTAAATCATCGAACGGTTTAGAAACGAGCCACTTTCATGAGCACACAATCTTCGTGTCGGTAAGCTTCTTTCTCAGCAAATATGCCAGTGTGTTAAAGAACAGTTCTGATGATGTTTTTATTCTGTTATAGAAAGGTTTAAAGCTTATATTTAGTATATTTCAATTTTTTACTAAATGTGCTCATTCACGGTGGTTAATTAAACTCTATTTCAGAGAACGGCCTTTTATTGAGTGTACAATATTTCCATTGCTTTCACCAAAAGAACTAAAATATAAGCATTTTGAAACATTTCAAAACATTTTTCTGTTTACTCCAAACAGTCTTCAATTCACTTATTCAATCTAGTTCCTATTAATTTTATAAATTAAAGAAAAACTTATATATTTGGAGAATCTTATGGAACGATTTTGAATTGTTTTTTTATATTTTTGTATCTATATTTATTTTAAAAGTTGTTTTGCTAGTTCATTACAAAACATTCGATATAAAATACACGCTAAAAATTTTACACCTCTTTAATAAATCAATTGATTTTGACTATTAATATTTAATGCCAAAACTAGTGTAACTGTTGTGACTGGATGTTCATACGGATTTTTTAAAATCAATTTCAACATTTTGACGAAATATCACAGAAGATAGGCATCCTTAGACACCTGCCATCATCCCAATCCTTGCTCGTTTTCGGATCATGCCAAGGATTAAATACGACACTTTCCTAACATTCCGTCGGAATTTAATCTTAAAATCACGTTCTTCAAACTTAAAAGTATTTGTTTTTAATGCATTAGTAGATTATTTAAAAATTTGCCTCTCTGATTTTTAAAATATTATATTGTGAATCACCAACCAAATTATACAGTGTTACCTCTTACCAATATCATAACAAATTTATAGAATTCTCCAAATTACCAAATTCTGTTTTCAATAAACTTCAAATATGTTCGTTTTACTGATTTATTAATTAAAAATGTTATTTTCCATCAAAATCATTAGACTTATAACTAAGATTCAAATTGAAATTGGAACTCAGCTGAAAAACCCAAACAAAAAGAAGAGTATGGCCAATAAAATAAGTGCATTGATATCACAAACACGGGACCAGAAGGGATCTTCATTGATGTTCGTCATCTCTCTGTAAACTTTCATTTTTTCTTCTTCCGAGATTATCTTCTCGTCATCTTCCAATGTCGCTCCACACATGAAAGCGTACACCCTCCATGGCAAGGAATGCTTCTTAACAACAACCGACGTTGAAGATTCTGAAAAATTTGAAATTTAAAAACAATTACACATTTTGAGCATGCCTAATTGTGAAATTAAAAAGGGAATAATTCAAATGTAAAAATTTCAACAAAAATCACTCTAGATGCACAAATTCAATAATATTATTCAAAACAATTTAATAAATTCTACCTTTTTCAATAGAAGCCGTGATAGCATCTCTATTTTCATTGGCCGTATTTATCAGACTATTATTATTTGTATCATTTTGTTCAACAAAGCTTATCTCAATTTCGGTTTCCTGAGTTCTGCTATCTGTCGAGTTAGGTGAGAGTTTACTCTTCCTTGTCCACCATGTGACTCTTTCTAGCTGGGGTTTAGATTTGAACTATATATTATGGAGTATGCAAAACGTGGTTTGCACTTGTACGTAATTATTTGAGATAGATGTTGTTACTAAGTAAATGTCATAACAAATTTCCGTTGCTACTTCCAGAAAGCATATCACATTAGTAGTCAAGAGCGAATTTTTTTGTGAAAAATTTTTGATGATTAAACATGAAGCACACGCACCTAAAAATATACGATGCCACAAAACTTTGAAACCTGGAGTTTATATATTTAAGGTTAAAAATTTGTTGATAAACTAGGACGCTTACCATGGTGCTGTTGTTTTCGGGTAAAAGAACGTATTTGTTTGTTTACTCTTATGAAAAAATTTGAAAAAAATTTTTACAAAAATTTTTAAAAACATTATTTTTACCGTTAAAAGTTTAATACCATGTGACCCAAGATATTAAACTCCCAGATATTAATGACGTATACTCAGAAGATAGAACCAATTTTTACCTGCTATTCAAAAATTGAAACATAAGAAAATAACCTCTTTCGGTGATTGTCTTTTCGTTAACAAAGAAACTACTACCATGACTATGAACGTGATGACGCACAGAATGACGGCAAACAGCAAATAGTGAACCTGAAGTGTGACGAAGATTTGTGATTGAATGGACGAATGGAATTTTAAAAACTGTTATTTCAATTTCTGGTACAGTTCATTAGCCTTATGAAAGGACAAGAAATGTCTCGAAGTATTATTTGAAAATAGCATTCGATTTATACGTGTAAACGTTATTAGAATGTTTGAAACGACTTCTCGAAATCATCTAGCATTTGATCATTTTTGTTCCAGATGGCAATCTGAATTATGTCAGTAAGCACATTCAAATTTAAACGAGTAAGTAAACATTTGTTTGTTCTACCCTCATGACAAAATTTTCAACAAAGGGAAGTTTTTATTTTTGATAGCAAACTAATACAATCTATTTACAATCTATGTGTTATACAAAGATTATAACTTGGCTTTATTGTTAAAAATGCCAAACTAACAAAGTGATAATAATTTTTCAGGCCGAAGGTAAACAAAAGTTGATGATTTCAAACTAGGGAAGGATATCTTACATACGCAGAAACAAAAAAACTTTGCAAACTGAAGGTTTAAAATATCTACCAAACTATCAACTACATTATCACATTAAAACAAAATCTTCTCAGATAACAGTTAACACCAAACAATTTTATTTTCAATCAGTTTAAAATCAGTAGTTTTATAGTTAAATAATAATATGAAAGATGTTTGAAAGACACCTACTTTTTCTAGAATACCTGGTCTCTCAACTACTTCAGAACTACCGCAGTAAGCAGTTTTATAACTGAAATCGAGAACCATTCTTATGAAGCCAACGACCAGTCCAACTATCAGCCCCCACCAGGCACCCTACATCGTTTCATCAGATTATTTTTATCACATGCAAGTTTAGACAATTAGGATTGTAATATTTCAACAATAAAACGAAAACTGTTTAACTTTTTAAAAAGTTAAATATGATTATTTTTCAGTAATGTTTATCAAAAAATGAGCATTAATAAATTAAGAATAAAAACCTGAATAACTTGAATAAAAAATAGATAAATATTAAAACAATAGATAGCTCAGCAATCGTTTATAGTGATGAGAACAATGAAACAAACAATGCGGTGCAATGGATAACACCATGATCATCTGAACCGTTTTTATTTATTTTAAGTTGAAAATGTGACTTCACAGTCCTAACTAAAATCTGCTATCAGTTTGCAGGTGTCAAAAATTTAGTGAAATATTCATATATGAAAAAATTAACAGTTGTTCTTTGGACGAATTAGATTGTAAAGAACATTTTGCTTATTTTTGATATTTATTTATTTATTAACTAATTAAACATTCGTTTGGTGCCTCAAATTTTGTGAGTTCTATGTTCAAACAACTAATGACAAAAATTTTAATTATGCCACCCAATCGCCACTGCGTTTTCCGCTGACATGTTAAAAGCGTTTGTTTGATTCCACCTAGCTAGTGTAATGTTGATATTAACACTAAGTTTTAAGGCTTGAAATACGGTATATCAAAAAATAATTCGTTAAAACTGATAGAAAGGGGGAAACAAAGTTTCAAAAGTCATTTCAATCAATCAATCAATTAGCTTGTAAAGCGCTATTTCCGCGATGTTCAACAGCGCTCCTCAATGAATTTTGAAAACAAATGGGTCTTGAAATCCGCTCTGAACTTCGTAAGTGATGGAGAAGTAGTCAGAGAAGTAGGTAGACAGTTTCAGAGAAAAGGGCCAGAAAAAGCAAAAACAGATTTAGCAATAGAGTGTTTAACACGAGTTAAGAAGAAGCGAGAACAAGAAGACGATAGTAAACCGGGGCGATTAGGTTCACTTAATATTAATTAAGTTCAATTAATTAATTAATTGAATTAATTCAATTGATATATCTGATAAATACTTAAGAAATAATTTAGATTGAGACTTATACATAAACGTGTATTGAGTATCCGAATTTCAAAACAAAAAAATAAATAGAAATATTTGTTCAAAATATGAATGTGAAAATAGATTTTGAAGCATGAACCTGTTCAGTTGCACGAGACCAGAATACTCCTAACATGTATACAACCGTCCAAGGAGGAGTCAAGCATGAATAAACAGCTTGTGAGTAATTCCAGAGCTGACTTCCTTGTACAGACTGCAGAATGGGCAGCCAAGCTACACTCAAGCACACTAAAAAGAGACCGAACAATCGTCCGACCAAAACTTTTTCATGTTCAGATGCTTTCTTTCTGAAATGTGAATAGATGTCCAGTGTGAACAGCGAGGAACCGCTGTTGTAGTACGATGTTAATGAACTCATCAGTGCCGACAGGAGAGCCGCCAACATCAGACCTTTGACTCCTGTTTCGTATAATGTTTATAAAATTTAAATTTCTTTGAAATTATTTTTTAGTATCTCACGACTAAAAACGACTAATGAAAAATGTAGTTTAAAGTACTCTCTTGCAAATAAGTTGTATCATTACGTCACGTAATGATGGCTCGATATAGGTCGGTGATTTTTATAAATTAAAATTTTTTGGCGAATAAATTTCAATCACGATTTAATTTTGGTTTTATACAGTTGACCTATGATAGTTTGTAAAATTTATCGAATTTATCAGCAACCAGAGAGTTTAACCCTTTCAAATATTACAGGAGCATTGCAGCATTTAATTTTTTGTTCATGTGCTACCGTTGTTTGAAAGTTTGAGGTGTTTATTAAAACATCAATAACTAGCGATTAAAAAAAAATTAATCAATGTTGTAATTATTCCACATAGATGTAATCATTCTTTAACTTGTTTTATTAGTTTTAAAAACATTCAAATCCATTGCCTGTATGTTGACAGACTCGACTTGGGATAATCACAAAGTTAAAAAACATTACTTATAAATATGTTTGTAAACCTTTTGGCAGAATGTTCAAAACCAGCATTGGGTAGGCGATGTTAGTGCATCCAGCTGGGTTCCCACATTTTTCTTGGCATATTTCCGGAGAAGAACAGGCAACATCGTCTAATAGGAAACAGATTAATTTCTACAATAAGTGATGAGAAATGGTAGATTAACGAATGTTAATAAAGTTTAAAAAATTAATAAGTTCAGGTTATCAATTCAACTAAATCAAATAACTATCTGTAAAATACAACTTCGATTTCAATTCCAACAAAATTTATCTATGAAATTACTATTTGTGTTGATAGAGTTTTCATATAAACATCATTAAACAAATTTATGAACATACAACTACACTAATGTATATACATAGAACAAAAATCTTTTCAAACTCTACACACCGGGATACAGAATTCTACTTATCATGCCAGGAATAATGAAGAGGAAGAATGGAAGGATCTTCAGGTACCCAGCCAACAAACATCCCACTTTGCTGTGGATAACTGTTTTCGCTGATAAATTTCGTTGCACGATCACCTTGATAATTTGAAAACTACTCAAAAAAACTTCACGAAAAATATTTCCCGCTATTTAGAGTTATATCTTTTATTAAAATACTTACCTTACTTTTTATTAATAATTTCCTTATTTCTCAACCTGTTGAGTGCACCAGCAATAAATAGCCAGGGGTATCATTCCAAAGACAACACCAGGCCATGGGAAGTCAGATTCGGTGCTTCTGAAAACGTGGAATGAATCGGCAGGTGGAAAACCACAAGAGAGGTTGTTGTAGAGTTGATGTTCTACGTATGTCATATTGGAAGCTGCTTTTTGAAATTGTTCCAACATAGAGTTGTACCCTCCTACTTCCATCAGAGCTGGAAAATCCAAAATAATCCAAAATGAACCAATGATTTTATACATTATTTTTGGTTTATTTAATTTTATGCTTATAACCCATCAACCTTTAACACTGACAACAGCGGTTCCAACGACAAGAATGACCGCTTGCAACGTGTCTGTGTATATAACAGCTGTTAGGCCTCCTGTTAAAAATTTTGGTCATATGTTTGAAAAGTGCTGCGTGATGATGAGTCTGAAGTATGTGTTATTAAAAATATACCTCCAATGGTATAAACGGCGGTGATTACGAGAATTATTACTGTCGACAAATAAACATTCCATCCCAAAAGTTTGTGCAGGAAAATACTGGCTGCATAAATCTCCATCTGAGAACGTACAAAGTTCTTTTATTCAGTTTATAATTAAAAACACAGCTTACTATGTTCAGGTATTCATTGAAAAAAGTAAGAGCATTGATTCTTATTTCGATAAAATTGATTGCAAACATTTTAATCGAGTGGAAAATGTAGGCACGTAATTGGCTGAAATTTGCATTTGGTCATTTATTTCGATGTTTTTTTTCAAATGGAGATTGAAGGTAGAGATATTATCTTACCATAGTTTTGTAATTTTTAGAAACGCTTGTCGTTAACTAAAGAGTTAAAAAAAAACTAAACCTATAACATAAACATTTAATCCTCATTGTTTTGCTACTGAAAAGTGTTGTTATCAAATGTTATTACAATAATTTGTGAAAGTGATGAATAAAACGCTCGATGGGCAATCAAAAATATTTATACATTATTTACGGTTATTCATTCATAGTAATTATTATCCAAATAATTGATGTTGGACTTTGTAGTAAGTAAAATTATCAATTTTAAGTATAAGAACTTTAAACTAAAATCTGTCAAGAAAAATGAAATTGGACAACATAAGACAAAAAAAATTGCAAAAATCCGCATAAACGTAAATACGAGATGTACAATCCTACCGATATACCGGTGATGACTCCGATGAGAAGTTGGGCGATCGAGCAGCAGATTCTCAGCCTCGCTCCTCCGAATCTCTTCTGAAGGAATTCTGGCATCGTGTACGTCTTTAATTGAAAAGTTATAAAAAGAACTTGTCTTAAAATTGAAATTTGAATTTAGACATATTGTTGACAAACACATCTTAAAAAATGCCAACTAAAACTTTATGAACGAACCCCTGATGCTAAATAAATGGGAGCAAATATCCAACCAAGAGCAATCAGTGCAATTATTGCCTGGAAGAAACAAACAAAGAAACATAATTCCATTAAAAAAACTGAAAATCAAAATAACGAAATAGAAAAAACTTCAAATTTTCGAACAGAAAAACTGCAAACAATTTGCCAATTTTGAAACTGTTGAAAAGGGCCAACCAATTTGATATGAAAATACTTCGAAAAATTGTTTTTTTTTTTTTTTTTTTTTTTTTTTACAAACCGTCTATTTAATAACAAGGTAAGGCATAATATATAGAAATTTAAATTAATGAAAATTATGTTGAAAATTAAAATAATTAAAAAAACATGTGTTTGATTATTTTACAACGAACTTGCCACTCAAACATGACGGGAGCAAACCCTGAAGCAGCAGCTGACCCGCTGAGACCCACCACGTTCGGAGCCCCCATGTTGCTGGCAAATATGGAACCCGCTAACTTGAATTTGTTTTATTCGTTAAAAATTTTAGTTATCAAAATAATTTGGTAAAAAAATTTAATAATAATCATTCATCATGCAATGTAAACGTTATTCCACGAGTTATCTACTTCCATGAAAGATGGAATATGCTTATAATATATCTAACCAAAGAACGGATAATGTGTGTGAACTAACTGGGATAAATGTCATTGACTTGCCGGCCAAGAAAAATCCGAGCGAACTGTTTTTGTTTGCATAGTAAGTTGCCTGGAAATTTTTTTACCAAATTATTTCATGTTTTCATCAATAAACTTTCTACTACATCATTCATTCTACAAAATTTGATTTGTTAGCTAGTCTGTGATCGGCGAGTTAGCTCAGTCGGTTGAAGAACGATGTTTCGCGCTGTTATTACAGGATGGCACGGTTCAAACACTGTCTGTGCGAAACTCAAAGACCATCATACGCGTATGATGCTATGTTTGCCCGTGCATACAAAATGTGTACGTGCGTCGTGTTGTCTGAATAGTACAGCCTTTTTGACTCAGATGTTTGACAAAAAGTATAAAATAATGAGTAAACCAAAAAAAAAAATAGCCTTAATTAAATAAATTCGAAAAGTTGTTTTTGTCATAACGCTATAAATCAGGAAACACAACTAATAATTTCATTTAATTGGCATACTTATAACGACTAGTGATATAGCTATTTACATTTCAGAAAGTATTTTTTGCTTGAAAACAATACGCAGATATTTTTTCGTATCCAATAACAATAGATTGCGTAATTATACTTAGACAATAAAGAATTTTTGTAATTTTTGTGCAACAGACGTCTGACAGTTTAAAGTGTTTTTTAAACTTTTTAGCAACTAGCGAATAAAAAATAAATGTTAAATGAATTTTACATAAATTATCGTGGTTTTAAAATTAAAATTAGCCTCTACACTGGCCATATTATATATTATGTGAGACTTCAGTTCTAAAGCTCGCATTAACTAGGGTCTGCAAATTGTGCGATTACCCATCGTAGGAAAGACAAAAATTATGTCTTTATTGGTCTTAGGCAACTCCGGCAAATCATTCTTTCGAAACCGACTGGACCTACAAGCTCACAACCGCTGCTAGAAACAGTTTATCTATTATACAATAGAACAATATAAACGAATGAATGTATGTATGTATGAATGAATAAATGGATAGATGATAAGATTGACGGATGAATGGATTGATGAATGGATGGATGAATAGATTGATGGACGGATGAATGAATGATTGAATGAATATAACATACAAATTAGACATGTATCATTCAGACCCTATTGCTCAGAATTGTTAGTTAACAACCCACCAGTAGTCCAACTGAAAGAATGGCCACAAAATAAGCAACAATGATGCATATGTCCAGCCATTCCAAATAACCCATCTGTCACTGTTGTTTAAAAAAATATTGCTAAAGTAAATTTAAAGGGTCAGAAATATTTGACAAATTTCGTTAAAAATCGAACAAATATAATACTATCAACACCTAATATAGTTATGAGAATCAATTTTAGCCATTTCACACATAATGAATATTATGCATTGGTTTAAATGAAATTCACATACATTTATGACGGCCATTAGAAATAAACTTGAATTTGAAAGACAACCAGTTTAACAAACTTTTGAAGATTTTTCAAATTATTTTAAGGAATTTTGATCCTAACAGATCATCTTCAGTTGTTGTGCAAAATTTGAATAACGGGGAAGAGCAGCTTTGCTGACCAACAATGAAAACTTATAATAATCAGATTCATTCAGAAAAATGAACAAAACGCACAAACATCGCACATGAATACACGAAGCATGTGAAAGACGGGGATCTTTCGGTCGTATTTGAACCTGGTCACCGCTGGTACTGCGAAGCAGCACCTGGCTGACTTGACTACTAGGCTATGTAATCTTCATCTGCATCAGAGAATCGAAATCAGCTTTTCTACACGAGGGACTACTGCATAGATTACTATTATAGTATAGATTAATACCGTATAGATTAATATTAGCTTAGGAACAAAACCAGATAGTGGGGATAGCCCGGCAAGGGATAGGATTAATAATATATTAAATTTTATGTTGGTTGGTATAAAAAAAACTTATATATATTTATTATATTTCAATAAAGAGGATAGTTGGCAAAATCGAAAAGACAAACTGCAAAAATTTGGTAGAATAGTTTTAAATAACTTAAAATTTGGAAATACCACATTTCAGCAAAATTACAAAAAATTTGAGTTTTGGCCCGCATCAAAGTGGTCAGGATTTGCATTTGCGTGTGTGCGTGTCAGTGTATATTTATGTGTTTGTGTGTTTTATACGTTTCGTAATTTTGTGTGACTTTACACTAATCATACAATAAATGATTCATATTACAAAAAAAAACACACGATGAACTACAATTCTGTTCACAGAAAGATTACTTTTATTACTTTATTATGTAAAGAGACAAAAACAGTGTTAATCGAATTCATCTGAAAACGCATGTTATGATATAAGATCTAACAGATTTCATTTGCGAGCAAAAGTTTGTCATGTTAGGAATTTTTAAATATGCATGTTCAACAGGTTTTAAATGGAATCAAGTCAATATTATTTTTGGCTCAATTTCTTTTGTGCATTAAATTGTGTTTGTACATTGTTTGATAAGTTGGCATTTTTTATTTTGGGAAAAAATAATTTATATCCAAATTGTGTTTTTTTAATGATTTATATCTGCTAAACTGCTCTGTTGCAGTTAAATGAACAACAGAAAACATTTATAGAATCCTATAATTCTGGAACTAAATAAAGTGTTAACGCGATTGTAAAACTTTTTGAAAGTGTATGTATGAATGCTTTAACATTTCTACTCCATAAACATTCTTTACCCTTATCAGCCACATAACTTACATACTAATTCATTAACTAGAAACTTTATTAATTATTCCACTTATTCGTATTTTTAAATCAATTTTTCACTTTCCATGATTCTCATGCTTAATCATTTTACTCCGTTATTTACTTTTCATTATTATTAACTTGCCTGTTGTAACAGGTTCTCCTTCTGTCAGATTCTGATTTTTTAAAGAACAATAATATTTAAAAACAAGATTTAAACTTCTTCAGTCTAGTATAATTTGCACATACTCAAAAATATAGGAAAAACTTGTATATTGAATTGATACATGTATAAATTGATAGATTTTATTTTAAAGATGTTAAACATCTCCACTTCTTGATGGTCTTCTGGTCTTAAATGAGGTATGTGCTATATGTGGTCTTTTGTGTAGTGATCTATTTATGAATGAGTGTGCTTATGTATGAATGTGTGTGTGTATATGAGTGAATCATAAATAAATTTTTTCAAAAGAAACAAATACTATATTGTATAACAGATAACAAATAATTGTTGACGTTTTAATATGATTCTACAGACACAATGCTTTTAAAAATATTTAAAGACAACTTGAAACGTTATTTTTCAAACAATTTTCATTACAATGAATGTTTTCAGTTGTTCATAGCAATTCATATTCAAGTTGTTTTCCATATTTCAGATAGGATATTGATTATACAATTGAAATGCTTCAGTTACGAAAAATTACATTATTCATTGCAGGATAATGTTTCTTGCTGAATGTTTTCAACATCTGTTTGGACATATCGATTTGAAAACAATGACTTCAAAACATGATGATTTCAATTTGTTTATGTTCATTTTTGTGCTAGTTTGTCATTAAAATTTATACAATCTATTTGTAATCCGAAACGTTTACTCAAATTGTTAAATATTTTACGACCGATCATGCTAGCGTTTGAAAAGTAATCGTCTTTAGTTAAGTTACTTGACTTTTTGCAATAAAAAACTTTAAAAATATTGGTTTATATTCAATATTAATAAATCAACAATTGATAAACATTAATGGAACGTCCCAATTAAACGGCTAGTCAAATTAAACTTTTTTATGAAAAACTATTTAAAAACAAAGATATAGAAGACTAGTTTTTTAGATCAGGGTTGGGAGAACTTTTTGCTTGAGAGCCGGATTGAAGACTATTAAACCTTTGGAGGGCTATATATATATTTCAATAAATAACTAAATAAATATAACATATTTTGAACGTTGACTAGGAAAAAATTTCTAAAGCCTTGAAATGTTGACCGGAGAGCAATATTTATGGCTGACGATCTTTTATTGCTTATAATAGCATTTTTATTTTTTCGTCAAATTACGTAATTACGTACAAGGCCTCGCGGGCTGTAGCTTACCCACCCTCCTGCTTTAGATGTTTGAAAATTGTTTGAAGATGTTTACAAATTGCTTAAAGACATGTTCACTCAGGATGAAAATCGTGGACAAAATAACACATTGTTTTAAGGTCATTAAAATTGAAATGAACCAAATGTGGTCAGATTAGTTTTCACCTGAGTTTGGTTCTGAAAAAAAATGTTTAAGTTTATGATAGTATCCAACCATCAAACTCAAAAGAAACTATTAAAATTTCTCAAAACTTCTAAAAATTAGATGTTATCAATCAAGTCTGAATAAAAGTTACACATTATACAAAATAAAATGTAAATTACCTCCTTAACAGTTTGAGCAATGATATAATCCACAAATTCAGTGGGAATGTATAATTTACAGTTCGAATTTAAAATAACAGAAAACTAGCCAGCAGCATTGATTCAGCAGTTAGTTACCGACGAAGAAATTGAGTAATAAAGTATTCAGTTTGACATATCAACCATATTAATGTTATACAAATACACAATAGCTTACTATTGCTTAGCAGAACGTATAATATAAATATTATTATAACTAAATCTATTATATAGGATGTTATATTATATATATATATATATATATATATTGCATATATATATGACAAAAAAAAGCGCAATTTCATTTGAATGAAAACTATGATATCCCAATTGGTCTGGAGGCATAGGATTGTTACTATTCAGATGCTCACTCAAGACCAACCAAACAGCACGTTCAATGACTTTGAACAAAAAAGATGAATTCGAAATTGGTCTAAAATGTTTAACATCAAGTTTATCCAAACTAAATTATTATTTTATCGGAATAATAACGGCATTTAGGCATAACACCTGTGGCTAAAGAAAAACAAAAAATAATAAAAAAAATTAATCTAAATATTTTTTAAAGATTTGAGTTGGTATAAGATTCAATAAAACTGTTTATGACTTGTTTTTCAGAGAAAATAAGAAACTATTGTTAGTTATTCTATCACACAGATTAATTGAGGAATATCCAAAATCTTCCGTAGAATTTTCTACATTTAACATTTTGCCCTTTTCTACATTTAAAATTTGCCAGTTTTTACCTAGGACAGCTGGAGAATGAAACATTCAAAAACAATGGAAATTTAAAACCAAATATCTACGCCAGATACGTGGATGATATCTTTGTCTCCTATAACGATCCTGAACAAATCACCCAACTTCTTGGTACCTTAAACAAATCAAAACTTAGATTTACCATTGAAAGTGAAAAGGAACAACGTTCACCTTTCCTCGATGTGTTGGTCACCCGTGGCGAAGAACGATTCAAAACCGCGGTCTATGTCAAAGAAACGAATACAGGAATTTGTTTGAATGGACAAAGTGAATGCACTGAACAATTTAAAGACAGCACAATAAAATCATTTGTGAACCGGGCATTCACACACTCTTCCGATATTGAAAATCGCGACGCTGAATTAAAGAGAGTCACTAACCTGCTTGTAAACGATGGATATAAGATTTACTCTATTAAAAGATTGTTAAAGGCAAATTACTACACAGCAATAACCTTCCTAGTACCAACAATCAAGATAACGACATCATCTTATATTACAGAAATCACATGTCAACTGCATACAAAGTAGATGAAGCTATTCTTAAACATATCATCAATAAAAATGTCACACCAATCAACTCAAATAGTAAAGTTAAACTCCGAATTTATTACAACAATAAAAAGACGTCTCACCTAATACTGAAAAACAACTGCAGTCCTAGAGATAACTCTGAGTTAAAGCGTAATCACGTAATATATGAATTTAATTGCCCCTTTGACGGCTGTGCACGTCAACATGACTCATATATCGGGATTACTACTACCTCACGGACTAGAAGGCTTACGATGCATAAACAGAGTGGTGCTATCAAATCTCATTTGGACTGAACACACTCAATCACAATTAGCCGTGAAATCCTCGACAGCAACACCAAAGTAATATACCAGAACAGCAACTACACGCATCTTAAAATTGCAGAAGAAGTCCCAATTGACATCAATAAACCAAAAATAAATATACAACAAAAAATGACAACCTCACTTCCAACCCGGCGCTTAACCAACAACGAAAACAAAGTAATAAAAACTAGCATCGTAAATAGTGACAAAGAAGAATATGATGCTATCGATAAAGAAAAGGAGACCAAAAAAGATGAATTAAGAAACCTGACACCTAATTCGCATCAAAGTTCAATTTTACAACACCAAAGTTAATTTTTACAACGTCAAAGTTCATCTTGACAAAGTCAATATTTCCCTATATATACAACAAGGAGCACTGATGATGATGCAGCATTAATTCGAAAAATAAGTATATTTTGAATTTTAATAAACTAAACGTTCACCAAAAAACTTTAGTGAGAAAAATCGAAAAAACGAACTACAAACATATTAACGCCAAACATTCGGTAGAATTTATAGAATATTGTAAATATATATATATATATATATATATATATATATATATATATATATATATATAGATTTTGGATATCCCTCAAGTAATGTCATAGGATAACTAACAATTGGAATTGTTTCTTATTTTCTCCGAAAAACAAGTCATAAACGGTTTTATTGAATTTTTTGATATATATATATTTATAAATATATATATATATATATATATATATATATATATATATATATATATATATATATATATATATATATAATTATTACAACTTATGTAGCGCCAATTAAAATGTAAAATTTATCAAAAGCGCTCTCAAAATGCAAAAATGCAAGCCTTTTAAATGTCAACAAATTCAGACTAGGATCCCGTAAATGGGTTAGGAGATTGTTCCATATCCTAGGAGCCAAAACAGCAAAATTTCTAGATCCTATTCTTAACTGGCTTGTCTGTACTGCCAGGTAATTTGACTCATCAGATCGCAAATTAACATAATGAGTTGCCCTTCGTGTTGTTTTGGCCATCAAATATCTAGGTGCACAATTATTGATGCATTTAAAAATTAATACACAAGTTTTGAACAGAACACGATTTTTGATAGACAACCAATGTATTTGCATTAAAATTGGTGAAACATGATCGTATTTAAAGGCGCCAGACACAACTCTAGCCGCACGATTTTGAATTGACTTTAACATCCTAAATGATTTTTCTGATAAGCCGTTGAACAAACTGTTACAATAATCTAAACGCGAATGGATGAACGCATGCATTAACATCTTAAGAGTATTTTCGTCTAGCGATTTTTTTATCAATTTCAACCTACGTAGTTGGAAAGTGCAAACTCTCATCAATGATTTTATGTGATGATCCAACGTTAACTTAGAATCAATGTTAACGCCAAAACTGAAGCAT